AGTTTTGTCACAACGAAGTTACGGAAAGTTAATTAACAAACGGAGACGTAACAATAGTATTTTTTAAACTATTAAGAAATATAAGTAAAAGCCATTTATTTCGACAATTGGCAAAAAGAATAACTTGTATATATATGTTATTTTCAAAATCCCACTGTCAATCCCACAGGAAAATAAATGGAGTTGTAATACAAAATATTACCTGGCCAATCAACAGAGAAAACTGCTGTCAATTTCCATATGCCAAGTGCAACTGTATAGTTAGTGTCTTTTGGGCAGACTAGTGTTACCTCCAGGGAATGATAGAGAACAAGGGTAACTAGAGTGAAAGCAACTTAATGACTTTCTTGACCAGTGATATATGAAAACTACACTTACCAGAATAAATGATAAAAATTCCACGAAAGTATATTAAAACCAGAAGGTGGAAAACACATGTTACAGAGCCTTTACTGAAATACAAGTCACACACACACACACAGAAAAATTTAAATAAAAATACCATGAATATTGCAGTTAAATTTTACTAATTATTATTAAGAACTAATGTTCTCTCTAAGCTGCACAGCAACACAACAACCAATAAAGTGCCACACACATCGTCGGTAATGGTGAGGAGTCTCAACACATTGACGGGCTTTATGACCCTGCCAATCGATAGACCATAAAGCCCAAATAACCAACTGGTAGCATTGCAAAGCAGCCTAATGATTCAATAGGGTCGATGGTCGAAAAATACCCCCTCCCCCTAAAAAAATGGTAGCTCACATCACACATTACCTTAATACTGTTGCACATGAAAAAAATCATTCTGCACATTGATTGAAAAAATAGAGGGAACATTGCTAGGTACTCTGTGTATTTTGTGTAGGAAATGAGTGATTTCATCTATGTATTTTGACTAGTTCTTTACATTTGTTATGTAGCAAGCCAAAACGAATATGACTACTGGTAGTGAATAGTATGAGAACAAGTTGATTAAGGTAGAGAAGTTTATGGTTCACTGATTTTCAATACATTCACTTTTCGTTGCTTTTCAAGCTCATAACAGCAAGATCTCAAACATTCAAAATTTGTTTGCATTTAAGTATTACAGTAGACTTCAAGCTTAAATCTTATTTTACTTTTTAATAAATGTTTAGACTATAGCTGTATACAAGTATATAGAAATGATGTTTATGTGGAAAATGTTCATAGATGATGAGTAAAAATTAATTTGACGTCAAATTTAAGAACTTTCTAGGTGGCCTAATTAACGTCATCGTTTACGACCTGAAGCTCCATCTAGCTAACAAATAAATTACAACACTAAAAATATAGCTTACAACTACCCAATTCCTATATTGTAAAGTTCCTTGAACAATCCTGACACAAAAAATAAAATTAAAGGAGAAAATAAAGCAACTTATTGTCGTTACGTGGACTGGACATTGAATTATTTTTATTAGATAAGTTAAGATAATTCGCTTACGAAAGAACAACACTGATACACATACATATATACGTGTATCGGTATAACGTTTGTTAATCACAATATAGGACTATGCAACAATGTTTGATTTGCTTTATAACTCATACTAATTCCAAGACAACTATGACTTTAGGAAAAGCTGATTCAATGTTTTCTATAAAATACAACGGTGATAGTCATATATATTTATATGTACGTTTTTGAGATATTTAGATATCACTTACTAAAAATACAACAACAACAAACAACCAAAAACAAGTTTAGATCTCCAACCAAGGCATTCTATAAACTGAACACTTTCGAAACGCCCCCTAGTGGCACAGCGGCAAGTCTGCGGACTAACAACGCTAGAAACCGGGTTTCAGTGTCCGTGGTGGGCAGAGTACAGATAGCCCATTGTGTAGCTTTGTGCTTAACTTCAAACAAACAATCAATCTTTTGAAATGTAGATATTTTTTCTTATTCCGCTGCTGAAAAAGGAAAACTTGGGTTATCGGGTATTTTGTTTTGTGACTTACATATGTGACAAACACACATATGTATATTGAAGCTAAAGTTTATGTCACAGGAAGTTACAATTGCGAGAGAAAAATTTCCCAGTTGCTCTTAAGCACACTAAATAAAATTAATTTTAATCTACTGAATTTATTTGAGATTAAATGGTTGATGTTTTTCTTGGAAAAGATAATACCGCTGAAATGAAATATCAAACAATTATTCTCATGCACAGTCAATAAATTTGATTTCAATTTCAAATCAACAGTGAATTTCTTAGGCTGTCAATATCCACACTAAGAAGAGAGCTCACCGATCTTAACAAAAAAGTTTTTGTTATGCAATAGGTGTCGCTATCTGTTTGATTATGTGATGATGCAGTAAGTCACCTCTGAAGAAGGCTAAATTTCTGGGAATGAAATGTTGGAAACTAGTTCGTGGAAAAACTGTTGAAGACATATCATAACAACTAGTTAAACAACTGTAAATAGTAACTGCATTATAATACAAGGTAAGGAACATTATTTTCTAAACATATTTTGAAATATATCACCCTAGAAATTTTTTTAATGCAAAGAAAGAATAACTCGAAACCTTAAATCTTAATGCCATCAGTTAAATGTTTAGTTAAGGCTTAACTTGGCTCAGTTGCGTGAAGGAGCTAGGACTGAAACTTGAATGTGCTTGATATGGCGATTCTCCAATACAGAATTCGCCTTATAAAGCGCAATTTATAAGTCACTCTTAGTTTATAACCTGTTCTGATATTATATGACCCAAATATAAAGCATAGCTATGTCAGTCATTATATCCAACCTTTTTTGTTGTATACAGTATAGTTTTTTTTTATCAGGTAAGTAGATCCTACCTATCTAATTAGTATTCCAAGAATATATGAAAGAAAGCAAATGAGAATATTTTATAATATGATAACCACACTACATCTGCTAATTCTATACTCAAGCAATAGCAGCACTACAATAATGACAATATGCAATAATGACGGTACTTCCAATCTATGTGCTTGTGAAATAGTTGGTTAATTATAAACTTTTATAATAAAAGGAATTCAGCAGGTGAATTCAGTTAGCATCAATTCCATTGACATTATTTTACCTGGGAAATATAACATTTAAAGTATGAAATACTGAAGCAAATTCCAAACTCTATTAGTGTTCAAGCTTATTTTGATCTATTCTTATCATGGGGTTTCATTGATTTTTAAATGCTGAAAATAAAAAATGTACACACCATTGGATTTCACAGTAACAAATTAGTAGATTAACACTCCAATTTGAATTGTGTATTTAATAATTAATGAAAAACAATTACTAATTTTCAAAATAATGGTCTTATTCTTCTTAATATATATAGTCATAGTATTTAAAAAGTATGTTGTATAATATAGGTGTTGGGCTAAGGATTCTTCTACAGTAGGTGTCTGTGGTTTGTTGGCAATAAATTAAAAAAAAACAAACAGCGCACACTCCACTTGTTTTCAAAATAATATATATATGCAAACTAGTGAAATGTATGTACAACTCTGTCTGCTGTTCCCTCTCATCTCACACTACTTATATATTTATCACTTAATCGTCTTCTCACCTTCTAGAAATCTCAATACCCTCGACATCAGTGAATTCCAAGCGACATTTATTAGCCTCAACATCAATGAATTATAAACACAATGTACAATTCTTACTGAGTTACGTAACTAAACTTGTCATAACGTTTACTTTAAACTAATTGCTCTTAATTCTCTTGTTATGAAAAAACTGAACAATCATGAAATATTTACTCACAAAATAAATAAATTAATACTACCCATAATACCTACACTCAATGGTATTTTATACCATGACAATAATCGTATTTGTAAATTGACCTTTTGCACCAAGCAACTGTCTTGTTCAAACAATGCTAACAAAATTAATGGATCGATATAAAATTTATTGCCTTACATGCTAATCTGAGACATTGTGCGAAACTCGTGACAAGGCTAGATAAGATGTAGTCCTAATAAAATACTTCAGTCTAACCCTTTCAGCATGGGCGGATGTGATTACCATTCATTCGACTAGGGAAGGACATTTATGCAACAAAAATATGGTAACTGTGTTCCTCACAAAAATTGTTGTGATTTCGTTAAAGTTTATAATAGTTATTTCCACTCAAATTATGAATAGTTCGAGTGCAAGGTGATTTTCATTATAAAAATACTTTATTTTATCTTTTAGTTTTCATTTTTCATATGCATAACCTATAGAACCTCCTAAATGAATATTAAAAGTTTTTAAGGTAAATGTTTATATATTTTTTTCATTTTCTATATCATATCACTAACTCTAGCTGTTATCATCAACATACAATGCAATGAAATGATTAAAACTAGGAAATAAGAGGAAAAAGACAGACATTTTAATTTTTTATAGAATATCTAAAGATTTTGCTTTTGTTAAATTTGTAATTTCAGGTCTTTTCCTTTTCACATATTGTATAGTTAAGTTTTAATGTTTTATTTTCCTTTCTTGTTCTTTGTTGCTTATTATTTATTTTGACACAAGTCAACAGTGCTTTCGAGGCATATTACATTGTCTTTGGGAGACATGCGCAACTCTTCTGCAAAATTTTCATTCAGCAAATAATATTGTAAGCCTTGAGAACAGATGCAAAGTATGATGTATATTGAAAAAAAAGATTAAACCTTTTAATTACGCATTTTGATATATATAGTTAATATAGCTGATTAACTAAAATATAATAGTAAAACATAAATACAGTTTTAACTGTATCTCTAACTATAACATATTTAGGTAAGAAACAACCATAAGTGCTATAGTCGATCAAGCCAACAATACTATAGTCAGTTACATGTACCGTGTGCTACATTTAGGCTAAAAAGCTCAAACAAACCTGGTAAAAGTGGGTGTGGCACTTGTTGGGTTGAAAAAAATTATTACCTGTTTTAACTGTATTCATTCAGAGAACTTTGAAATATGCAAGTCAAAAGAAAGGTTATGTAAGTAACTTATTGTTCAGACGTACCTCTACTCAAGTACCATTGTATTGTTGAAGATACAGAGAGCCAAAGTAGAGAATTTTCATAGCTCATTGGTCACGTGACAATACATCTGAAGTTTTAAGTAGTTTTTTAAAGGTTTATTTTGAAATGAAAGACTTAAACTTTGAATCATAACATACATTATAATATTAATTTCATTCTCATATATAGATAGTAAAGGAGTTTAGTTAAATTTTGAATGTAACTCAGTGACTTGCGCAGAAAAGCATTTAAAGGGGCACCCATTACAAAAGGGTTAAAATCTGTGTGAATTTAATTATATTGATAAATGAAATGAAAACTTTCAACAACCAAATGTTCAGAATCAAGTATGAACGTACATATTTACCTATTAAAGTAAAAGACAGATTTTATATTCATGACCAACAGATAGTACCTGTCATGAGATAACGCATACTGTTGTCAAGGTAACGTATTGTCTGCCTATAGTTCCAATTCATAATTTTTTTTGGCATGCTGTCAGTTGGATTTGTGCAAACATATATATATATATGTGCATGTATGTATATGTGTGTGTGTGTATATATACTATGGCCCAATGGTTATATAGCTGCTGTTATTTGCTAGGTAGCCAAATAAGCTTGAAAACTATCCTTCACGATGTGTAATGATGCATTTAGTAATATTGTCCAGGTTTTATTATAATACTCTCAGCCATTTTTGCTGTAGGCTGGCAGAACAAATGGACGATTCATATTAGGAACCACTACTGTGGTTCTTGATATAGCATATTGTCATCAAAAGCTGTAATGAGTCATTTTAGGCCTTTATTGACCCAATACATTATCAGCTACAGATAATAGCAAGAACAGTAGGCTAGGCCTTCATGGCAAACTAATCAGAAAACTTAAATCACTTTCTCATAATACTGAATTTGGACACAATGTGAAATTTATTGTACTAAAACAACATACATAAAAAAGATAACTTCATATTTACAGAAAGCACATTATAACTATCAGATATAGATTGATCTCGACAAAAACTATTGTCAAAATATTGTTCTACGATACTTGAAAAGGACCCTTAAAAGAAAATTTGTTAGCACCCTTCTTAGTTTTAGTTTTTAAATGTTAGAGTAGGAAATAAGTGATCTATATGTTTAAACAAAAAATAGTTCAAAATTTATAATAAGGTTCGAAGCTGTACCCTCAAATTATAATGGAAAATGTTCTAGCCAGAAATAATGAGTTTTAAAATATTCACAAACAAAAGGCATAGAAACAAAAATAAATCAAGCTAATAATAGATAACTATAAGCTCAGGAAAGAGGAAAATATAAAACATGTAGAAGTGTGATGGTTACAGTTCACATGCCAAGGTATATGGATATTTTTTATTTGTGAAATAACATAAAATAACATAATGTTTATTGACAACTAGGGACCTTTTGGTCCATCTAGGCTATCCCATCCTCTAAACTAATTGAATAAATAAATAAAAAATAAATAACTCAAAGCCAGTCCTTATAATTCATATACTTATCAAGCTTTCTCTTAAATTCACTGCTTTCACAACATTCGAAGGCACCCCGTTCCAAAGGCCAACCACCCTGTTATAAAAATAAAACTGTCTTAGCTAAAGATGACTCCTACCTTGCCAAAAATTACCATTCTCACCATTAAGTATGAAAAAAGATGATGCATGAACATTGTCAATTCCCTTAACAGTCTTAAACACGTCAATCAGATCCCCTCTAACTCTTCTTTTTTCATAAGAAAACAACTTCAGAGATCTTAACCTCTCCTTGTATGACAACCCCTCCATTCCAGGCACCATTCTAACCTTTCCTCTGAACCTATTCCAACAATTTAATGTCCTTCTTAAGGTAAGGAGCCCAAGACTGAACACAATACTCCAAGTGTGGCCTAACCAGTGACTTATACAATGAAATTATAACCTCTTTAGACTTGTATTCAATATTTCTGTAGATACAATTTAAAATTTAAGAGCAACATTTAATAGATAGCAGCAATGAAATGAAATTTGTAATTTTTTTTTTTAATTTTTACATTGTTCATTTTTTGTAAC